TTTTTTCACAATCTTGACTAGGGCGCGGTGATCCCTATCACTTTTTCTGACCACAGTTTTTCCTTCCCTTTGCCTCTCTATTAATGTGTTTGGACACAAAGCTCTGAGAACAGCCAGCCTCTTCAGCAATAACCTTTTGTGTCTTTCCCTCCTTGTGCAATGTGTCAATGGTCGCCTTTTGGACAGCTGTCAAATTTGAAGTCTTCCCCATGTTTGTGTAGGCTTCAGAACTGGACTGGACTGAGAGACCATTTAACAATATTCACAATATTCTAATTTTGTGACACACGGAATTTTGGATTTTAATTTGTTGCCACTTCAAATCATCAAAATTAAATGAAATAAACATTTGAATGCATCAGTCTGTGTGCAATGAATAAATATAATGTAGAAGTTACACCTTTTGAATGCAATTACTGAAATAAATCAAGTTTTTCAAAATATTCTAATTTACTGGCTTTTACCTGTAGATTGAAATGACTGCCTTCAGCAAATCTCTGAGGCAAAATTGCAGCTCTGAAAAATCGTAGAAAACACCTTTCAATCTTTTCATCTGAAAACTGAAAGTGCATTTTACAGTGGACCTAGAGTCAGATGCAGAGTCAGCAGAGCATTGGTCTATAAAGCAGATCACGGTCATGATCCCTTAAGAGGAGCACCAGAAATGCACAACTAGAGTGGGAGAAATGTAAAAAGTGTGCAAAACCTCAAAGGTTATAACTACCTTGGGGTTGATACTCTATTGTCTAATTTATAAAGGGAGTTAGAGTGGTGCGCTTGTGCTCTGAGAAGGTTGCAAGTACCCGGTTTGATCCCCACAGCCTCCACTCTGGGTTTCTGAGCAAGACCCTTAACCCCACACTGCTCCCTGGTGGTCACACAATGGCAGCCAACTGCTCCCCAATGAGATGGGTCAAAGGCAGAGAGTGAATTTTCCCATTGTGGTACAATAAAGGGATTTATATTACATTTTAGTTATGAAGATACTGATATCCTGTGCTGTCAAATGTCTTACAAGTACGATGATCTGTGCCGCTGTTTGATAGGAAACCTGTGAGCCGTGTGACAGCTCCTGCAGGCATTGTGTTGGCCCCAGACCTGACCAGTGTCTGACCTGTCACAGAGACTTTGCCCTCCATGCTGTAGAGAACCGCTGCTCCCGCTGCTGCCAGGCTGCAGTGAATCAAACCAGCTGCTGTGTTTGTGACACTCGCTCAGGTAAACATGCCATCCTCCTAAAGCATTTCAGGATACATTTAATAAAAACATTGTATTAGTTTAATTATTTTTCTCTTCATTAGCTCTGTGTGTGGAGACTCCACAGCCTAGGTCAGGAGACGGTAAGGAATCAGACACGAACATGTCCTCCCGAGCATTAAAGCACACCTCAGCTGCTTTGCCCGTCACCCTGCTGCTGGCGGCGGGCCTGGCCCTGGCTGTGTTTGCCTTGATCAAGGCCCACGCCAGGAGGAGGCTTTGCTGGAACCAGAGCTACGAGAGACTGAGCGGCAGCGGCAGCATCAACATGCCCCACGGCGTGCCCGAGCCTGACAGCGGCGATGAGGTAGACGTAGTTTACACCAGCAGAGGAGGATCCGTTTACAGGCGCTACAGCTTCATCCTGGAGCAGGACACAGATACAGACCAAGATGTCCCTGTTAGTCAGTCTTAGATGCAGCCATGTAAGGGTGAACTGTTACTGACTGATTATCAGTGTAAATTTGGGTTCAAAAGTCACTTCGTTTATGGGAGATTGTTTATATACAATCATTCTATTATTTTTGGGGCTTTTAATGATTTTTTGAATGTTCTTTTTTAAATTAAAATAACGATTTTTAAAAATAAGATCTGTATGCACACATTTGAATTTGTAGTGGAATTTACCTTTTTCTTCTTAGGGTCAAAGGTAATCATTAAAGATGAAATTTGCTCTAATGCTTCTTTCAATTGGTGAGGTTTGGACAGAAAGAGGCGTTTAGACCGTTGCCTTGAATCAGCAAGTTTCTGGTCTGATTCTTGGTTGTTATTTGAGTGGTCTACTCTTCAGAAATGGCAGAGTTCATTATACAGTTACTAAACTACTTTCCCACTTTAGGGCATTTAGTACATTTTTAGCAGGGTTAAGATCTTGCCGGGCAACATGAGAGGGTTAATCTTCGCCTCCTTCATCCATCTATAAACTACTCTTTAAACTGTGCTTTGGGGTTTCATTATTTTTATTGTTTGATATTATGATCACATGCATCACTATTCCTTATTATATATGTTATGGCAAACAGTTTTTGATATTTAATATGTTACAGTACACAGAAATAAAGATTTGAACTATATTTTTCAGTGTTCAATATATCCTTCAGACAATACCGCTTTAGAACAAGCAACTGATGAAAACAAGGGTGCTCTATAATTTTCCATGTATATTTATTTCCTAATCTCTATGACACCTTGGCAATAAGCAACTTAGCTTTTAATCAGTTTCAGTTAAACTTTGCACCATCCAGGAAATGATTAGCAGGTATTGATGTGGAACCAGTTTTACTTATGGAACCAGAACAATAATTAACGTCTGCCAATACTGACGTTATTCCAATATGATGGGTATCACTAGTAAAAATGTGAAAATAGCCATAATCTGTAAAACACAAGAAAACATGAAACAGTGAAGAACCTTCTCAGGAGTAGCCGCCGCACCCAAAGCTAATTGACATTCAAAAGAGAATAAGGGAACCCAAAACAATGTCTCAAACACGGCAGGCCTACTTGCTTTAATTAAAGATGGTGTTCATAAATCAACTCTGAGAGACTGAGGAGAATGTGCAGGCATGGCTGACATCCAAATCTAAAACAACTGCTGACTCCAATCCACAACTGTCAAAATATCTTGGTGGTCCCCAAGAGTCGGAGCGAAGAAATTCTGTGGAGTGACAAAAAAAAAAGGAAACATTTAGAATACATCTAATTATCTCTATCCTCAAACTAAAGCAGTGTTTCAGGTAAAGAACATCAGAACATCATATTGATGAGCAGACATATTGGGGACAGCTGCTGGGCGATTTTGACAGCCTGCCATACTTGAGAGTCAAAAATTTTACTCTCTGGCAGAAGAACCTGATAGAGAATGGCTGCCCATCAGTGACCGTTAGTTAAAGGGCTTTGCAGCTGGACATTGATCCAAAGCATAGCAGCTCTGTTGAAGACGCTGTAACATGACCTCACAGGGGCCCTATAAACCTTTTAAATTCTCAAACAGCAGTAAAGTTAAAACAATTTTGCAAAGAACAGAGGGTCAAAATTCCTGGACAGGGATACCTGATTGTAGCTGCTGTTGGTTTAGATAGTTTTCCTCATTTGCATTCCCCTACTCCCCTTTGGCAATGTGCCAGTATTGTTGACGATAAAACGCCCATTACTGTAGCATGATGCTACCACTACGATGCTTTAAGATTGTTACCCCAGTTTTAAGTTTGAAACCTCATCCTGACTGCTTCTGTCCGAAGAACTCAGTCTATCTTGTTAAAAAAAAAGAACATTTCCTCCAGAAAGCATTTGGACGGTCTGTGGGGCAACAACAGTTTCACAATAGATCTAAAGGGTTATGATTTTGGCTAGAGCTTTCTTTCTTTATCTCTCTATGCTTTTTGTTCATATTCAATGCTCATATTTTCTGCACAAATTCATGATTTTCCGGATCCGGTTCCGGTTTAGAATTTAAGTGGATGTTCTAACCAAGATGGCCAAAATTTGTACACAGCTGGGTGGGAAATGGTTTGTACCCATACAGCTCTCCTTCAAGTCCGAGAACCCCAAAGTGCTTTACACCACCAATTCCCAAAGTAGGGGCCCTTAATCAACCAGGATGGGGTCTTGAGGTCCACTGCAGAAATTGACTAAATGATAAACATTTATGTTAAAGTTCTAAAAGAACCCAAAGAATCAATAACAAAATTGATAATAGATTGTGTAGAAACGTTTGTTTACCCAACCAATGGTTTGAGTCATCAGTTGACTCTGGGACCATTTTGTGAGTCAGAAGACAGACAAGCTGGGTGAACGGTTATACCCAATGACACAGCAGAGATGGATGGAGTGGGTGCTCAAACCGGCAACCTATTGGTCACAGGACAAAACCCTACCTCCTAAACGAGTGATATCTGTTCACATAACTAGCTTTGCAATTGATTAATTAGAGCTATATTACATTTTTAGATCTTCTTTTGACCTTAAGCCCATAAGGCCTGGTGCATGGCAGGCTACAAAGCAATTTCAACACAATGGTTAATTTCTTTTTCAAAGACTGGTTAAATATTCCCATAGAACTGTCATTAGCAGCCTGTGATTTTTGAGCTTGTTTATGATAACGGCACTAAGCAGATGAGTAAAAGTCAACAACAAATCCAAATGTGTGGCTCCAACTTTTTTTTAAGTGATCACTGGAATGTGTGTAAACATCATTTGTTTTAGTTGTAAGTTACACTACAAAGTGCCTGTATCTGTATAATGCACACTCTTAAAAAAAAATGTGAGCAGTGACTGAAAAACTACCTGCATATTTGTGTAAATGTCTATATTCTTTTTGTAAATTAACAATAAAAAGTTTGTGAAACTAGACAGTGGTGAAACAGTTTGTATGATTTAGCTGAAAAAGTCACCATCTCTTCTGACACCCTTACAGTTAGAAATATACACCTTAACTTCCTCAGAAGTTTCCAGCATGAGATTTACTCATGCAATACAATTATTTAAACATCAACAAGGATGCAGTTGGCCAGACCTTCCTGTCAAACCTATTTCTGCCACACCTCCAAGTAGAGGATTCAGTACCACAGCCTTTATCTCCTAAACCTCACTGATGAGAGTTCATTTGCTCCGCCACCTAATGAGCAAAGAGATGACTTACTCAAAACTTCAGAGAAAGTGGACTTATATGAGGACCTTCTTTTTCCTCATGGTGTGTATGGGGCTTTCTTTAATTTTTTGGGGAACAAACTTTAATAGAAGTCTGCCCTCTAATTTTCCTATACTGGAGCAGTTCTCCTCTGACCTGCCTGCCTGTTTAGGTGTCATCACTGGAGACACAAAGGGCAGAATGGCTGAACTAGAAGCGCTTCTAGCAACCAGAAGTAAGAAAACGGCTCTATCTGAGGATTTCTACATCAATGCGACAAAGGACTGTGTAGCTTACACTGAGAAAAGAGGTTTCATTACTGTACCTCTTAGTGAAGAGGAGGCAAATTTTCCTATTGCGTACTCCATGGTGATCCATGAAAAGATTGAGATGTTTGAAAGACTCCTGCGGTCTATCTATGCTCCTCAGAACCTCTACTGTGTTCATGTTGATCAGAAATCTTCTCTGGATTTTCACAGGGCTGTGAGAGAAATAGTTTCCTGCTTTCCCAATGTTTTCATAAGCAGTAAATTAGAAAGAGTTGTGTATGCTTCCTGGTCCAGAGTACAGGCAGATCTGAATTGCATGAAAGATCTCCTACGCTCCGATATCCAGTGGAAGTACCTGCTGAACACTTGTGGGACAGATTTTCCAATCAAAACCAACAGGGAGATGGTGAGAGCTCTGAAAGCCCTCAATGGGAGAAACAGCATGGAAACCGAAGCCACCAACGACTACAAGAAAGGTCGCTGGCAGTACCACCACAATGTCACCAACACGGTTGTCAGGACGGGCGTGAGGAAGAGCCCACCACCGATCAGGAGCCCCATGTTCTCAGGAAACGCCTACTTTATTGTCTCAAGGGCCTTTGTGAAACACATAATGCAGAACAGAGAGGTGCAGAACTTCATAGAGTGGGAGAAGGATACGTACAGCCCGGATGAGCATATGTGGGCTACCCTGCAGAGGATGCCCCATGTTCCTGGATCAGCCCCCGCTAATGGCAAATACGACGTGTCGGACATGCAGGCTCTCTCCAGGGCAGTCAAGTGGTCTTACCTAGAAGGAGACGTGAGCAAAGGAGCTCCCTACTACCCATGCACAGGGGCCCACAGGAGATCTGTCTGTGTGTATGGAGCTGGAGACCTCCTGTGGCTCCTGAGACAGCAGCACCTCTTTGCAAATAAGTTTGACCCAGAAGTTGACGATATTTCCATCAGATGTTTGGAGTCAGTTCTGCATTTCAAAGCTTTGGGTCATGACCCACTGGCCTCTCTGGTAAATTCAAACCTGTTGTAGAACCATAAAGGAATGTAATGCTTTTCTTTTTCCTTTGTTGAAAGGAAGCAGGATAAGTTTGAGAGGCATATCATTTATTTTGCACATCTATCTCCTGGATAAACTTTTTTCCCCCCTTTATACATAAACAGCTAGCTTACCAGCTGTGCAGATATCTTACTGCTTTACTGTCACATTTTTGTCCTATGAAATGTTCATCTTCCATGAAGTCTACATTTTGTGTTATTACTGTGCAAGAAATTATATTTAAAAAAAATACTACATATCAAATTATTGCTGCATTTTGCAGCAATAAATATCAGCATGGATACCATTTTTGTGGATGTTTTCTCTGTTACAAGTTAGATTTGAGGCAAAAAATCAAAACAGGTGTGCATTATGGTTTTCTCTGAGGAAATAAGAAGACATCGACGTAGTTTATGCAAGTTATACAATTAAAATACTGTAAAGTCATTTAAATATAAGACTTATGAAAATTATCAATCCAATTTATGAAACAGTTAAGTTGAATGATAAATTGAGCATGACTCTCATAGGAGTCAGGTCCATCTACACTAATATAACATATCTGCAATATCTTCTTACTGTAAGCAGTAAGACTCATACCAATTGGAACAGGCTTTGGCGATATATGAAAATCTGTTATAAAGCAAATTATTACATAGACTATGAGCTAGTATTGGATAATGTAATACCACTATGGTTGCAAAGGACTAAAAAAATAAATCAGTTTAAGTAGGCTTAATCTAATAAATACAAACTAAGAATTAAAGGAGCAGATGTTTAATTTATTCAGACATAACTGAATAAATTAAATATCTAGTAACAAAATGTGTAAGTTTAAGGCCTAAATTTAAAATCCTGCAGTGTCCCTGAAAAATGTATATATAATTAAAATAGATTCAGGCTCTCCAACATCTAAAAGGCACATACGCAGTGAGGCGCAGCAAAATAAAGCTTTATTTTCCCAAGGTAGGATTTCAACAGAACATCAGCAGTGAACAGTGAAAAAGGTGCCATCAACATTTCCCATTACTAGCCCAGTGAGCCTGAGACCTAAAATTGTAGTTTAAAAATCAGTTCATAAAAATATATTAATTTTTTTCCTTTGACACCTTTTGAATATAAATATATATATTCCAATATAATAAAGCAGAACATGCAGAAACCACCTGTAACAGAGTGCATTAAATAGATGAGGATACAACTAAGATACAGAAGCCATGCTAGAAGTTACATAGGAGACAAAAAAACATAACACTTTAGACAACAGGTGGGAAAAGTGACATGGGTTAGTTTGTATGGAAAGAAAAATGCAGCAAAATGTCTCAATGTAACAGGCAGCATTGCTTCAAAAAGGCACTTTCCAGGGAGATAAAATTCCTGTCACATCGAGCAGAACATTCACGCATGGAAAAGAGTTGTTCCCCTCCTGGTGTTGCAGTGTGGTGCCATCACTCGGGAACAGCAGCAGCAGCGGTCTCCACCTTCCCGGACATGTCCTTGTCGATTCTAAAGAAACATTAAAAAGTCATGCGATAGCAGTAAGACCAGGATAGCCTGTATGATATGATCAGGATCAGCTTAGCACACTGACTAAACATTGGATGTTATGAAATTAAACATCCTGAAATATGATCTTTATCCATAGAACCTAACATAAAAATTGTTTTCAGCTAGAATGAATGTAAGAATCCTAATTTCTCCACAAAATAAGCTACAAAAAGCTCAAGTGTATTTTCAGCTATAAAATCAACACTTAAAGTGTATAATTAATGCTCTTCATTTGCTTTAAAAAATGAAAATTGCCCTTTTAATGGCAACAGCGTGCTTCTTATTACCATGTGTGATCAAATCAACTTTGCATTTCTAGTCAATTTTAAAGCAATACAGCTGCACCAATCAAGCTTCTATTGGCTGATTTAATGAAACTCCAGCAGCCTGCTAATTGATAAGTGTATACGATGAAATCAATTCATTTTGTGCCTTCAAATGTTTTTCAAATAAATGAATCCATCAGAATTTTACAGACACATTTTCTTTAAAGTCTAACCAACAAATAATGTATAGATTTGGACCTCTTTCCAAATAGGATTTCAAAATAAAATAGAGTGCTGCCATATATTTTTTCATGAACAGTTGAAAAAAGAAATTGAACAATAGTGTTGATTTATGCATAAAAATATACAATATTTCTGTATTTTTTTATTAATCCAATAGAAAATGCAAGAACATTTATGAGGTCAAGAAATAGATTACTGATTGATGCTTCTGTCATTGTTAAATAATAATTAAATCTTTACATTAACTTTTTTAAATGTAATAAACCTACATTTTCTCTTGCAGTCCTGTGTGTCCTTTAGAGTTGATATTGTTATACATTTCATCCGTACACATTAATCATTCACCATTTATCAGGGATGAACGGTGCATTTCCGAGTGCATAAGCAAAGCTGACAAAAGATCTCTGCTATTTACCAAAACATCGGTGGGGAGCAGGAGTGCAAAATGAGTGAGTCATGCGAAAAGCTGTGAGAGTGAACAAGCAGGGTGTTCAGTGAGGGCCACTTACTGACAACCATGTGAGGACACGGTTAATGTGCAATAGTGCAACCACAGACACCACAATGACGAGGACAAACTAGTTCCTTCTGTTACTAACTTGAACAAAAAACTTACCAAATGTACACTGCATAAACTCTAAACCTGTTGTTTGTTTTACAAGAAATAGGCCAATAAGTGTAACGTCACGACAATCTGCACACATTCACCTTCCTATGAGCTACTTAACATTGAGGTCTAAACTAGGTGAGGATTTGCATCTCCAGAATGAAACAGAAGACGAAGCTTTGCAGGAAATGTAATCATTAAATACTAATTTATTCTAACTTAACATTGCTAGATCAGTCAAGAATTTAGCTGGTTAAACAATCAACAAGCCACCTATTTAACTCAGTGAACAGTCATTCAATTGGAATTTAAACCACGTCAGGTGAAATTTGCAGGAGTTCAGCTCAAAAAATAGGTGTCTTGGTGCATTTCAGCAAGCTATCTGATCATCTTTCTGTTAGTTTTATTGAAAAGGATGCAGAGACTGACTCTTGGTGAAAGTGCAAATACCTTTGATTGCTTTTCCTATTTTTTTCGGCGTCAAACCTTAAGAGGGGCAGGAAAACTGGTTTAAGCAGAGAAAAGGAAGACAACCAACAGCAAAAACAGATGAAAAAGGTCAGAATGTATCGGTCCCCTCAAATCTGGGGGCAGTTGTGGAGCAGTTTGTTTCTTAAAGGATGACTACAAATGACCCCTCATGTGCCAAGTCACACCAAATAAGAACTCAACATGATGTCCAGCAATGTGACCACCAGGAGTAAACATCAAATTGAAAACATTAAAACAAATTGAAAAATTAAAATCAGACAAATATCACATATAGTATCTCTAAGGCTACGTTCACACTGCAGGCCTTGATGCTCAATTCCGATTTTTTTTTGGGATTTTTTTCCCGTCGCTGTTCATTTCCAAATATATGCGACTTGTATGTGATCTCCTGTGTGAACTGCATTCATACAACCTAAGTGTCCCGCATGCACAGTAGAGGATGCAATGACGTCACAAGCAAGCGTGCTCTGTGTTTACGGAGTAAACATGGGTGGTAGTACTGGAGGACATGGATGGTTAAACATAAATACTACTCTCCGCATTATCGTCCACCATTGTTGTTTTTCCTGTCACTTCTGCGTAGCAAGAAGCAGAAGAGTGCTGGCTGTTCAGACACAGGTCACATTTGAAAAGATCAGATTCATATCGGATTCAGGACCACATAACCAAGTGGCCTGGGGCAGATTGGAAAAAATCAGATCTGTGTTGTTCAGACTGTCATGAAAAGATCAGATCCAGGTCACGTATGGGCAAAAAAAAAATCGGATTCGGGTCACTTCAGGCTGCGGTGTAAACGTAGCCTTAGTCATAAAGTTATTTGTTGAAACTCAGACCTATGCTGTACTTTGGCAGACTAATCACTACTTTGTTTAATGAAGTGATGCAAGCTGTTATATAGCTCTGTTTTTAGTGTAATCCAGCATGTGATTTTCTATAATCACATCCTCCCTTTCTGAGCACAGCAAATACGTAATGCTGCTCAACCATGCAGCATGGCTAAACGGGAGTTATTCAGGTGATAACTGAAGGAGTTTATCAAGTATTGATATTCACAGAACCACATGGTGTATTCTGCATCCTTGTCTCCACCAACCTGTTAATTACAGATCAAACTCTGCTCCATCATTACTTCCAATAAAAATACCTGCTTGAGAATGACCAGCTGTGCCCTCTAGTGGATGGCTGAAACATTACATCACTGAGAAATTCCTTTTAAGAGGACATTATCAATTATTTGAAAAAAAAAATGTTAACCTAATAAACCATTAATTAATAATTAACCACAAGTTGTTTATTAGTTTACATCTATTATACCCACATTTATGTTATAGAATGTTCAGGGGTACAAAATAAAATGAAATAAATAAATGTTTTATAAAATTAATAAATACATAATTAAATCATGAATAGCTAAATGAAATAAAAAAGTACTATTGAATGTATCATTAAATAATTATTTTTCATTTATTCATTGTAAACATAATTTCACCATAAAATGTACCATTTTATTATTAAATAAAAAAATAATCAATTTTACTGATATTTTTCATCATTTCAAACTCATGAAATTATTTAAACTTTCAACCTGCTTCCATAAAGACCCTGACATCTGATCAGATGCTTCTTGCTAAGCAATGCAAGGCAACTACTTCTTGGGATTATTTTAGTCTACAGTCAATGTCCATCACTGAAAAATTAGGAATAACTTCAAAAGCTTATTACAATCTATCTACAGCAAATTGGATGAGCATTTCCAACCTCTAAGTCCCTAGTTTGGTGTGAATTATATCTAATAAGCTTATGACAGAGCATCCAGGTGGCTGGTGGGTTAGAGCTTTCACTGATTTGAGCAAAATAAACTATAGCCTGGCTCACGTTCTCTCATGAGACCAAACTAGGAATATAAAAGCTGGATTTATACCAATATGCTTTACATGAATTGCAACAAGTTTTTGGAGTGGCTTCAAATTTAAGCAAAAAAAGAATGACTTTATTTAAAAAGAAAAAAAGACAAGGAAAAGAAAAAAAAACAAAAAAAATGGAAAAACGTCTTTCTCAGTTTAAAGAATTTCATGAGTTTGCTATAGACACTATGGAAAAAATAAATAAATACAGATTAAAATAATGAAATGTATTTGAAAAGGATTGATTTAAAAAAATACTTAAGTAATAATTTGAAGGCATATTTAACCATTTAAGACCATATCTATGCATAATATACATTAACATGTCTGTTTCATATTTTTTTTATTTTGTCCCCTTAACCTTCAAAAAAAATTATATATATATATATATATATATATATAGTTTTATTCAAATGTGTGAGGCACACTGTAGTGTAAATGCGAGTAAGAGACTCAAAGAATGTGACAGAACAGCAAAAAAATAATTGAAATTTAACACTTTGGAAGCAGAACATGGTGACATTGCACCTGGTTGTGGAAATAAACAACTGATCAACATAAATGCAATCCTTATACTTTATACTCGCTGTGAAAAAACAGCTCCTTTAAAAGTATTACATTCTGTTGAACTTTATTACTTCTTTCATGCAGCAAACTCCAAGGTATTAGTGAGTTTTATATGATAGAGCAACACAAAGAATGGAGTAATTTCTAAGTGGAAGAAAGCAAATAAAGACTTTCATTCTGTTTTCAAATTAACTGTTATGCCAGTGAATTTAAAGTCCTTTTTTTAAAACCTCTGAATAATATCCCATCAAACTACCGGTAATTGCTTTCCTAAAGCAGCACTAAGTAACATTCCACCTCATTAAATCATGCTCTAAGTGACTGTGTTATGGTCATCTGTGTGTTTATGGCAGGATTGAGTATTCTGTCATCTCCCCCTGCTGTCTCTGTCCTGAAAAACCACACAGCAAAGTTTCTATTCCATCGACATGGTTTGCTGTCACACTGTAGGTTTTAAAAGTGGACAACTTGCAACAAAGCAGTGAGTGTGATGCTGGTTGCTCAAATTGCACATAAATGATTAAGAGCAGAGAACACACCCAAAAATGGAGGAAAATTACTATGGGAGTCCTCAAAGCAGCACCTTGCTTTTGCTTACTTATGCTGGTATTACGGCTACAAATGCATTGGGGGAGTCAAGAACAGCTAATTAAACAGGTTTTTCATTTTAGTTTTAGAATCCAGAGGGGGAAAAAAAGTCTGGTATGTTTAAAGCAGATCCAACATGGCAGGTGTGAAAATACCCTCAATCTCAATTAAAATAAAAAGTTTCACATGTCTATTCATATGTTTTGGCACAGATCAAACCACATAATGAATACCAAGAAACACTGCAGACAATTGAGGGAGAACCTTGTAACGAAGAAAGGCAATGATCAGACAAGCAGCCAAGAGGCTCATGGTGACTCTGGAGGAGTTGCATAGATCATATTGGAGAATCTGCCATCAAGATCTTTAGTTGTCTTCTTCAAGAAGCGATGGAAGACTCAGGTTTTTAGAGAATATTTTCTACTCTACTATGGAGTGAATTTTGTTCCATTATTGTTGCAAACAAATAACGATTTTGTAAATAGAAAAAAAAATCCTCTTATGAAACTTTAGAAATATTGACAAAAAAAAGGATTTTGAGCTTACAGCAAGTTAACTTTGCAGTTTTCTTAGAGTTTATTAAACGAAAAAAGTCAAAATAATATTTTTTATGTGGTTTTCAAATTGTATTTTTTAAAACTTTATTTTTTGACTTTGAAATTTCCTTTTTTTCAACTTTTCTATTTAAGATCATTTTTTATGGATGGCATGCAAATGGCATGTTTTCAAATTGCAATTTACAGAATAATTTTTTTCCAAAGACTTCACGTCCAACACAAATGCTGGCTCTTGATGCGCACGTTGACCAATAAAAATGTGCTTGTTGCTAGTATACATGCAGATCAACAGAAATGCACCATAGCACCTTAGGAGAGGGGCCGCAGGGGTGAAGAGATAATATAAAATCTAAGTAAACAGCAAAGTTGGTGTCAAAAACTTTTTAGTTTTTTAAAGTTTCGTTTCTGGATTTCTTTTTTTTTCATCCAAATTTTCATTTACAAAATTGAATCTTTGTTTTAAACAATGGAACAAAATTCATTCCAGACTCCACTCCCTCAACTGCATCTTTCTGCACATCCCTATATGCCCTCTATATTCTATTTCTACAGTAAAAAGTTATCAAAAACTACTTAGAGAATAATTAATTGTTAAGTCTTCAATAGTAAGTTGCTTTGGATAAAAGAACATCAAAGCCAACATGTAACATCTTGTTATTAAGGTGACAAAATGTAGACAGTTGAAGAGATTAACACTTTTAGAAAGAACTGCAAAATAAAAGTCAATATTAGCATACATACATGTAAGCAGATGACCGAAAACAAATGCCAAACACAATATAGATCTTATCCAATCTTATCACCTGCATTTAAAAGCATTTTTGTGTCAAATACTCACTGTTTGATACAATCTGGTATCGACACATACTCCATTGGAACGAGTTCAGCAAGGTCCGTCAAGCTGTAAACATACTTGACTTTCTGGGTAAACTTGGAGCTGCAAAGGAAAACATACAGGGTACAACAACACGAGGATTTTGAAGTTATCATTTAAATATTCTAAACACATAAACCCAAAATGTACCTTATGAAAGGTTTTGTGAGTGCCAGCAGGGTGCGAATAAACCAGGAGGGATGGACAATTATCAATGACTTTAGGTTTTTCCGTAACCTGTAGGAAGAGAACATTTAGAGGGTAGAAAGTCTCTTAATTAGGACTAAAAAGGAAAGGCTTAGATCTTTACTCTCTTTAGGAAAACTGCTTTTTTTTTAAGGGTCTTGTTGAATTACCTTCTATCGATCTGCTGGTAGCACTTCCTGAGCCAGCCGACAGTCGGCATCTTTTTCCTAGACGTCGCCCCATTTAAATACACAATCATATAATTTTCTGCAACCAGCAGTTCCAGTGTACCAATGACATACCTGGAACAGAAACCACACATTACCAACTCGTCTAAAACACTGGCTTATTGAGCTTGGTGTGATTTACAGAGATTCTTACTTGAATAAATTATCCATGATGTATCTGTAATTTGGTTGACTGCTCTCAGGCATGAAGCAAACGGCAAACACAATTATAGCATTCAAACCATCACCATAATAACCTGCAGAAAACATGTAAATTAATGCCATTTTGGAATCTAAATGTAAGAAAATTATCTAGAGTATAACAAATAAAATCGTTTCAATTGGTGTATGAGAGTTTAAAAAAAAATGCACAGACCCCCATGACTGATAACTCTTTTGTACGGTTCAATAGCCTTCATATCCACTCTGTGATCTTGATCTCCAATATGGAAAAGCCTCCATCGTCGTCCTTCCTCCCGCTCTTCTGATGCTGAATATTCCTGGACTGTCTCTACACCTTTCTGGAGTAGTTCTGTTGTTTTTGGTTTAGGGAGATCATCTGAACAAGAAAGTATGATTACATATAAATGCATAAACAAAAAACAACTGTTTTGAGTGATTAAAACTTTCAAGCAGTTTTCATCAACATACATTCAAATCTTTGATTTTTTTTTGCTCATGCTCCAATTACATGCAGTTTGATCACCTGTATCTTGACAGCATGCTTTATTCTCAGATTAACCACCAATAATCACAGCTTTAGTTCATTCTATAATCTCCCTTTTAAAGAAGAACAAAAAAAACAAAAAAAAAACACCCTTTGTTCCACAACACACTTGAAAAATGTCCTGACAGATACAAATAAAAAACATTATCAGATGAAATTAAATATTTTGATATTCATTAGAAAATAATTTTTCACCATTTCATTAAAATTCAGGAGTAAATACTGATTTTGATGAGCTATTTAAGTAAATTATAGCTACGCTTACTCACATAAAATTTCTCCAATCCGATCTAAATCTTGGTTGATCAGAAGCTCAAAATCTCTGTTTATATGTGCTCTAAATAAAAAGATCTGATCCTGACGTGTGTATACATGTACCAATCTTTTAAACAGAATAAATCAGTTAAGCATGCAGAGAAAACTCTAGTTTTCCAGAACATTTTATTAGTAGAAGAAGAAGCTGCCTATTTGTAAACAAGCCCACCGCTCATCCTCAACTCCAGCTACTCTTTGTGCCCGCCCCTCACATTTTTTATTTATTTATTTTTTTTTTATCAGTTCTTCACTTGTATCTGTTTATTTTGTTTGTTTGTTTTTTTCCCACTGTGGACCTTTGTCACATAATACTTCATTTTGTTTTTGGTGGTTATTCTATTTAATTTAAGGGCTTAATGGTAGCTTATGCTAACGTTCCTTTGCTACAGAATAGAGGGCAGGGTAGCATGTTTATCCACACATTACATTTAGAGCTACCTCCTCCACCAAGGAGGACCAGGAACCAGTGAATGAAGGTTAGTAAAGAGAAAAACATCCTGCTGATGTTTCACACATGCACAGAGAAGATGATTTTACTCCAAACATCCCAATGGGTGTGTACATCGATGCCAATGG